TTCTGACTCCATCATTGACTTTTTATTCATCTACCCACCCACTGGTCTTTTGACACAAATGCGTAATGAAATCCAAAATACAAGAAACAAAATAATTCTACAGTAAATCACCTGTGGTTCTTTCTTTCTATCTCCTACTCTTCTACCTTTCCCTGTCTTTATGATTTTTGGAGAATAAACTCATTTGATATGTGACATTTTATGTACAATGAACTAATTTTAAAAACATAGTACAAATAACTGCACTTTAAAAGCCAATTTACAGAAAAGCTAAATTAATAACTACGGCCATCCTCAGTACAGGCATGTCTCTAGTGACAAAATCTTGCCTTGGAATCATCACATTATAAATACATCTACTACTTAGCATCTTGAATAAATTTTCACAGAAAAAAATATTAAGCCTGTGACAAAGGGGAAGTGCTTTGTCAGGAACGCAGATTCAACTAGCTGTTGTTCATACCCCACTGTTGCTAGTACAAGGATGTGGGTTTTGGACCACCTTCCTTGCTAGGCATGATTTATTACAAGGTGTATTTTTCACTTCAAACACTCAGGATCAACAGTTACCACCCTGGCATTGGTACCATTAACCACATATTTTCCAAGTGACTGAATTAGTATCTCCAAAACTGCAGAGATACATAGTGACGTTAATATCCTACTGCACCAAGACATTTTTATTAGAAAAGTAAGTTTAGCTACTTTGATTTTTGCTTTCAACGTTCTGAGATAACAGTTCAAAGAGAAAAATAATTAGATTACTGTACAAAATGTTTATGAAATCTTATGAAGGTTTTCAATGACTGGTTTAACTAAATCTGCTTATTCCAGCTACTTTTCCAGAATTTTATCTTTTTTAGAACAGAGTGCTCACTATCTCACTTCAGTCTCAAAAACGCATTTGAACAAATCTGTTCTCCATTGAGAGAAAAAAAGTACAATAAAAATCAGCTTAAAATAAATTTATTAAACAATACAAAAATAAGCATGCTGGAAATCAAGATACATAAATAACATACAATGCAAATGAAAAACGGAAAATGAGACAGGTAACTTAACAACTGAGCCAAAAGGTACAACACAAATGCTAAAATAAAATTTTAAAAAGCATTTACATTTCTAATGAAATGTTAATGATGCTGAAAACAAGAAAAACAAACAAACAGCTAAAATGCTTGAATATCAAGAATTGCTATTACTGTAGCACAGGTGAACACTAAAACCATTGCAGACGTCAAACATTCAATGACTAGCCTCTGTCACTGCATCCTTTCAGACTCGCTCACTACACAACACAGGCATGGGTACATCATCACAGCAGACCTAACTATGGTCTGAGGTATCTGTGTACCCTGCCACGAATAACAGCCCTCGGCAGACATGGCAGGCCAGAACAAGAAACTGCGAGCTAGGCAAGTTACAAAATAATTGGTCCAAAGGAGTCTCCTCCTGATCCCTCCTAACTAGAGGCTGGCTTAAATTCTGAGAGAGGCTTCAAAAGCATATATTACAGAACTGTAATATATATATATATATAAAGTAAAGATTGTGTAAGCTGTATCCTAAATATTCTTATTATGCATATTAAAGATCTAGTAGTTTCTTTAATTTTGTACTTCCTGTGCAGGACTTGCCTCTGCTACAAGTTTTGTATGTAACTGACAAACATAAATACGGTAAAGATTTTTATTGTCAAGTTGAAAGCCAGGATGGAACAACTTTCCATCTTCAACCATGTTTTTAGAATTAGTTTCAAATAGTACTAAAAATCAGAAAAATACCGAGTATAGAATTAGATTAAGCAAATCCTGCATCAGGCATTCTCCTTTTTTACTTATATCAGTAAATCAGCCAGCAACATGTCATCACTGTAAATACTTTCCATTAGCAGCACAGACACATTACGTTCCCTCTTGCAATTGAGGATATTCCAGGTAAAGACATGTAGCTTTGCAGGATCTGAATACTTCTTATGTCTCTGTAACTACCAGTTCACAGTAAAATCCTCAAACAGGTGAGACATTTTTATAATTCAAGACTTTGCCTTTACTTACATTACTTACTTTCGAGATAAGAACAGACAAACCTAACCCTGTCACCACTGATAAAATTAATAAACAGCTACTATTCAGCAATTTATGACTGACATTTATTACTGGGCATCTGCACCACAGATTTACCTCTTTATCCCAGGAGGACTTCAAATTCAACGAAAAATGACGTTCTGTATTGTTTTGCTTAAACATTTTAATCCTAGGCTTCAAAGACAGGAAGCCCATCCTTTTACAATAGACTGCTAGATGAAGATTATTCAGGGTTTAGTCAGAGCTTATTTCAAATGTTTATGCAAAACTAACAGAGTAATTAAGAACAGCTTGCTCTCTCAGAGAGATGATTTATGCATCTTCCTGAATTTATAAACATCCAGATGAGTCAAAGAAGGGGCAGGAAAAACCCTAACCCTCCCCTTATGCAAAATTCATATGAATGCACTTTTGAGTTTTACATAAACTAAAAAGGGAGAGGGATTGGGGGAGGGGGCAGGGAGAAGGGGTGGAGGTGTTACTAAGGAATTATCTGTCATTGTCTCTTAAAATCCTCAATGAGCTAATTCGATGTATCATTACTTGGGCAAGTTTTCCACAGTTTTATAAACAGGACTCTGCGTGATGTGTACTGGGAGTGGGATATATCAAATTATCTGCAAACTTACAAAGGTGAAAACTTTACAGAGAATACTTTTTCTCAGATTTTTTGCACCATTAAGAATTTAATAGCTACAAGCGTCAAGAATTTAGCAAGTCTGTGCCCTCTGTCCAGCATTGCCTATTGAGCCTATTCAAAGCTTACATACACCCAGTTCAAGCTACACCCTACTCAAGATACTCAAAATCATCAAATTATGCAGATGAACACATGCAGTTGCCTGCAGAAGAATGCAAGTCCTAAGGCAAGCTGACAGAGGTGCAAACTCACTATCATATTTAAATGTAGCAATTAACAATAACTTTTTAAACACTTGCTCATGTGTAAGTAAATGAAACCTCTGATCATATACATGAACATGCACACATATCAGTGGCTGAAAAATAAGTTAATTTTAAACAGTTTTAATAGTATCTACCTATCCGCTTTACTCTGAATATATTTCCTGCTCACTACTCTGTTACCGCTCTAAAACCAAGATTGCTTACGTTCCTCTCTAGGGTGGAGCACAGCATTATTAGTAAGGCAGACTTCTGAGTCATAACTACCAGCTGGCAGTACAAGCAGCTAGCAAGACACTCAAAATAGTTTGGGAAGAAATTTTTCTGCATTAGTTAACTTGCAAACAAGGCGGGATTTTTTCCCTCCACCTCCCAGACCTCAGCCATTTTTTGCTCTTTTTGTTTAAATGTTAGCATTAATAATCATCAAAGGTCTGATAAAACGAAAGAATCTTCATTAGCATGGCATACCCAAAGGATCCATTTCTGTTCAAAGCAATTTGAAAGCTCATATATAAAAAAAAGGGGTATGGTAATAGCATGACTCAGAACCTATCTCCACTTAACACACCATTATTTAGAAATTCATGAATTTGCTGTATTTTGCTGACATTATTTTACTTTATATTTTAATTAAAATTCTTCTATCTTTACATGCTGACCCTGATCAGAGGACACACTGTTAAGTTCTTGCTTAGCTCTAAAGTTAATTTACTTAAAATTCTCACATATAAACAAAAATAAACAGATATACACAAAAGTGGTATATCTTTGAAAACATTCAGATTTACCTTTTTGGTTTCTTTAAAGTAAACGTATATTAAGTAACTACAAAAGTCATTTAACAGTTTTGGGTTTTGTTGTTTGCATGTGCTTTTTCCCCCCACCGTGAACCTTGACAGTCTTTTTGGTATAGCATACAGAATTTACACAAAACGTATATATAAATGAAACACCAGGTGAACAATATTCAAATCAAAGTTAAATCTAGAGATGCTTGAGGGTTTTTAAAATGAAGAATTTAACGAAACTAGAACCCATTCGTTTAGTTTTGCTCTCCCCGACCTTCCATTCTATACACTATGGTTCTGGAGATGTCCTCGTTTGATTCAGGTGACACTTTTTTCCATACTGTTTCTTTTAAAGCAAGTTCTTGCTGGAGATTCTCATAGTCCATTGGTCCAAAGGAATGCTAGTTGTTCAAGCAACATACATTATTTATTAGTGTATTTGAAGGAAAAAAATCCATACTTGCAGTCAATGCTAACAGACTCAAGTTTTTCACCTCTTCACATAAACTGTTATTTTCTTTTTTCCAGTTATAAAAAATTCAGATTCCAAATTGGGTATTTTAGACATATACATGCAAACAGAAGCACTGTAAAAATCATTCTACTGTATCTTGTATTGAAATCTTCATGCCTTAGTTAAAACATTAATGGTAATAAAAGCAAAGAGGTTTTCCTTATCTCAAGCATTCTCACACTTTTATCTTTCGTACATGTAGCTGGAGTGGATTCAGTTCATGTGGAGAGACTGCTTAGAACGCTTCCTTAGTAACAGGCACTTGTCTACAGCACTGAATTCACTGCCTATGCAACTCTCAACAAGTCATGTGGTCTCAGAGACAGCACTGTGAAAAAATGCTAGACATACATTTCATGCATTGCAGCACAGAACAGAAAGGCTAAGCCCACCAGCTGGTCATATCTTTATTAAAGGCAACCAGTACAGTAAAACTCTCTGCAACTTTTGTCAGATATCATATACTTAGTCTAGCAAGGGAGAAAACTGCATGAAATGGGAGTTACAAATCTAATATGAAATTTCACTATACAAAACCCTGTGATAGTGTGGTCCACTCAGGTAAGTGTCCACTAATTATGTAAACTAGTTAACTTGAAAGCTTTGATGCAATACATGTCATTGAGCAGCTTTGTATTTAGAGAACTTTCCGTATTTCTTCTGATGCCTACAAGCAATACTCACTAAACACACATAATAACTTACCCGCTGATCACCACCTTCTCTGCGAGGATCAAGCTTTTTTGCGAAGTGTCTCAAATTATCGTAGTTATGGAAATTGCACAAAGAAACCAGATCCTGCAAATATTTAGAGAACATACATTATTATTTGCATAGGATAGTCAAATGCATAAGAGATTATAACACTACCACCTATGTTTTACATCATATCCTAGTAACTTAAAGCAGTGATAGGAGAAACTTATTTAATAAATCAATACCAATGTCTGTAAGGCCCTTTGAACGTAATACAATGATACGATTAAGTCCTAATAACACCTTTAAACTCCTTTTTAAAGAAGTACAAAAGAAGTAGCGATTTGCAAAGTATCTATTTTAATATATTTCTACCCCAGCTATATGAAACACTTCAGGAACAGGAAGAACAGTCTGGGCTAGTCTAATACATAAAGCTTCAACCAAAGGACAAAACAAGAAAATGTGTGCCATAATGGATTTTAATTGTGTGAATTACAACCTAGTAATTACAGAACTTTGCTATGCTGTTGTATTTTTAAAAATGAATGTTATGTTCATGTAATTTGCATGCCACGATCATCTATCAGTTTTTAGGTCTTGTTATAAACCAGAATAAATGCAGTAAATCCCTCACCTAATTGTTGTTCTATGATTTTATATTTAAATTATTGAGAGTATTTGACATGAAACTTTAAAGTATTTAAATTAGAATTAGCAACTTCTTAGTACTCTAAATTTGCAGATGTACAGAGGTTAGATAAACAGAAGCATGAAAAACTTTAACTGCTGCTCATCCACATGAGCTAAACCCTCACATACTGCAAGTGACATGCTGTTGTCAATAAGTGAAGACTAGTCATACAAGCGTTCACCCTAGGAACTGAAGTCCATTCAAACCAGTATCACTGCAGCTCAACTGCCATCACTACTTTGGGAGAAGAAATAAAGTGTCTAGTTACACCTTCAACTTCCAAAGCATTACCAATAATCTTACATTTCCTATGAGGCTCTAGGCAGCCTACTATTCTCTTTTTTGAGACACACCCCACCCCGCCATTTAGAATTACTTCATCAGTATTACAAGGCAGTTTTAGGGAGAAAATAAAAAAGGAAGACAACATTTTTCACATTTTCCTCTCCCACAAAACATCTTTATTAATCATTAGGAAATACTCTACAAAATCTCTCCTGCTTCTAATGCTGCTATAAACACGTTGTTCACAGCCCTTTCAAAAGCAAAGGAAAAAGCTATAAAGTGTTTGCCCAACAACTGGATCTGATCTATGAAGACATGTTTTATTGTTTACAGATCGTTTACAAAAAAATAGTTTAAAAAAATCCATCAGAACAGCAGTATTTCATTAGAATCAGCTTCTTTCATTGTAATGAAATAAGAGTTGCATTTCCACTGTTTTGAAAATTGTTTACTTTATGACTGGAGAGGAAGTCTATAAATAGAGCTCTACAGCTTCTAATGCAGTATACAAGAGACCAGCTCTTTCATTACTTTATGAAGTGTTCCTTTTCAAAGCTTTTCCACAACAAATTTCTCCACTGTTTCGGGCATCATATTTTCTCAATGCTCACTAAATTCAAGTGTTATTTATTACTAAAATGCAAATGTCTCTTCTTGGACTTTCACCCTTGGATCAGATGAAACTGGCTAGGTATGGAAGAGTAACAAATCACTATTTAATTCACTTAGATCTCAGCTATACTAACTGAAGCTCAGTAAGCATTAGCTGCAAAAAGAAAAACAAAACAAAACAAAAAACACTAAAGGCAATGCTGCTTACGTGACAAAAGTGAATTCCTTTAACACTGTTGCCCATCTTGTCCAAAGGAGGTGACCAGCACATTAAGCCCATGACATTAGGAACAACCAGAAGAATTCCACCAGCAACTCCAGATTTTGCAGGAAGACCAACCTATAGAATAATTAGAGAATTACTGTCATCTGCTAACAATCTTAACTATTGTAACACAATGCATTAGCATTTTACTGAATATTATCATACAGCATTTATAAAACGTAGATCTGGAAAGCATTTCAGGCTGGGAAAGTGTTACTACTTATCTCTTTTTAGATAGACAGTAACATGAAGCACAGTTCATGGCAATCCGAGGTACACGATCACAGTTATTTGCTCTCAGTAACACAGAGAGTCAGTAACGTAGTGAAAAAGGTAATTTAAAACTTCTATAAAAAAGCAATTATTACTAAGTGGTAATATACCAGTGCACCTGTCATGAACAGTTCGCAACAAGACAGTAGTACAAAGCTATACACATTAAAAAAAAATCTTGACTGGAAAAGGTAAAAAAACCCAAAACAAAATTAAAAAAATGAATGAACAAGAAAACTGAAGAGTTCGCCTATGAAATCATAAAATAACCTACTTATTTACAATTTGGATAAAAGTACTGCTTTTTTCCAATAGGAACTAATATGTCATATGTCCTCATAGCTCTGTAAGCAGTAACTTTTAAGTCACACAAAGCAGCACAATCAATTTTATGTCTCTGCAATAAGGAAAAAAACTAGAAGTGCTCAAAACACAAATAAGATGCAGCACTCCTTGAAATACTTACATGTAAGAAACATACTGCTGGAAAATAAAAGCATGGTACATATGCTTTGTATGACAGCCACTTTTATAACCCATGAGGGAAAACTCACAAGCCTGAGTTAGTGAAGAAAAAGCAACTGTCTGCAAAGGCTTTCTGCTGTCCTTTACTCCCATATAGCAGGATTTCTTCAGTTACGCTGTTTCCAGTTAACAACTGCATCATGACCTGTTTCTCTCACAAATAGCCTTCCTTAAGGGACAGTGTTTATGTTTTGACATGAAAAGGATTCCCAAATGTGAAGTGGCAGAGAACAGTACATGCTACAAGATATGTTGCACTAGTAGTGCCATGAATTCTAGGTGAGATTTTCCCATATGGTGTGTTCAGTTTCTAAACAATTCATGTAACACCCTCTCCTCTGCCTCAGAAGCAAGCAAGCCCTGGAACATGGTAAACAATAGCACGGATTAATCTTCCTGGTCAGCTATAATTAATGTCTGAACACTACTTACATGAAAGGCAAACTGCCCTGAAAAGTCATACATGCCACAGGAATGCATTAAACTCAAGGTATTCCGGACTGCTTCAGGACTCAGTACTCTTTCACCAGTGATGGGGCAAAAGCCACCATTAGCCAGAGTTGCTGCCATCACACTTGCCGATTCACACGTTACCTCTATTGAGCAAAGCTTATGGAAAAGAAATAGAGATTATAAGAAACGATACTTCTAGCACAGTAAGGCCAACTACAGCAGGATCAACAATACGTCTCTATAGAAATTACATCTCATAAAATAACACGTATCATAACATTTGTTACAGATGACGCTAGTAGCATCAATATGGTCTGAATTGTCCTACTATAAAGATCCCAGCAACAGTGTTTGTAAGCCCTCTTAACAGTTCAGGACAGTATTTTTCACGGGTTAGTGTCTCTGCTTGATTCCTCCCCCCACCCCCCCTTACATTCCTTTCAGAAGAGGCTTGGAAAACAATCTCAGTATTTTGCATCTGCTTAAATGGCAAAGCCATAGAATAACTGTTTTTTTCCATTTGAGTTTGGTTTGTGGGGGAGGGTTTTAAGCCTTAGAAGACCCCCCCACATTATTAGAAGTATATTTTAAAGCTGCAAACTCTAGCACATGCAAGTCTTAACGCCAGCACTTCTGCTGATGCAGCCTTATTTCACCTTTCTCTCATATATACTTTATGATATATTAATGATACAACCACATGATAGTCTCTCCCAGGATCCCTGCTTCAGTACAGACTATACATACTTCGGTGACACATCAGGAAATGTGATATGATGCCATCACCTGATGCTGTCTCATTTCTGCAGAAACCAAAAGATAAGCTGGTTTCAACCTGAAGCTGCAATGCTACTCTAAAAAGTAAACAAACTAGCACTTGTATTCTTGCTTTTGCCAAACAGTCATTACATGATACTTCATGAAGTTACCTAAGCCAAGTTTGCATGAGTAGTTACTACCTGGAATTCTTATTTTCCGGGTGCCAAACTCAATACATCCTAGTCCAATCAACTGGAGTTGCAAATCAAGAGATTGTCAGAGACGCATCTAAAATGGCAACTGTGTTTTAAACATATGAAGTATTACATAATATCACCTACTTTGAAAAAAAGTGTTTCTAGGTTCTCAGTTTAAGCACCTGCATTTGTACCTCAGTTCTCTAAAATGAGAATAATCCACCCTCACTTTACAGAGATAGTAGGAAAATAAGTTTTTTCCTGTTCAGAAAGTTCCAAATGACACAAGAGACGAAGAAGCATCACAGAAAACCCCAAGAAAAGAACTAAGTAGCCTTTTAAGTAGAATCTTTAGTAGAATGTTGGAAAGTAAGCGTTGTACATGAGACGAAAAGAAAACACAATTGCCGCTTCTATATGACCTGCCCTTTTTCTGAGTATGGAGTGAAAAGTGGATTTTGCAAGGCAAAAAAAAGAGTAACACAGTCATGAAAGTAGAGACCATAATGCACAAAAATGAGGCCAAATTAAAATACATCAGAAAAGTTAGTTCTGGCATTTCTTAACTTATGAATAGCTTTGTATTCAGAAGTGTATCAGGACTTCAGGCAGTGGGACAGGAAGCATTTAAAAAGCATGTTTAAACAGTAAATTAAAATAAATTATCAGTTTTGTTCTGTAGTAACAGAAGTTCAGAGTAGGCTATTAGCTTGTACCTAGTTTCCAACTCAACAAGAGGTCAACTAAGGCTAATCGCATATGCCTTACTTCATAAACAGTCATTTGATCTGAAGATTAGAGCAGGTGTATCCCAATACAAAAAAACCTCAGATAAAATTTTCATTTTAAAAACTATTGTTTATAAATCGCGTAAGTAAGAGCAAGTCTCATGAATCAAAACCAGACCCATTTTGAGAACCAAATTCTTGATTATTTTTTTTCTTTTAAACTATCCCAGAGGGACTGAATCAGTAACACAACTGAAACTGCCTTTTGAGAACTATATGCAGCACAGTTGACTGAATTGTGAATGTTTTAACATTAGGAAACCCTTACTGAGGAAATACCTCACACTTGCCAAGTTCTCATTTTGGGACAGTTACAAATAATTTGCTGACAGTGAAAAAGTAAAAAAAAAAAAAAAAAATGGGGGAGGGGAGAAGATATGTGACTAGATTCTTTATTTTACTCATAAGCATTGAATTAAAAAGCAGGAGATACCTGTATTATGTCATTTATAGCACTACTTACAACAGAGCATGCATATACTATTTCAGTTATACATGGAGTTTAAAGTACTTCACAGTACAATAAAGAGCGGCAACCGAAAGAAGTAGAAATATTTTGTTAAACTCACTGAAGTAAGAAAAGCCATTTTAAGTTTCTAACTACTAGTATTTTAAAATCTACTGCTAGTTCGCATTAGCAATAAAGATACTTAAGTATATGACCTAAACAAAAGCAAAACTGGATACATCAAATGTACATCATTCATTTCCAGAGTTTAACAGAAGCTGACAAGTTTAACTATAAGCCATTAAAGTCTTCATATCTATGAACAAATCAGCTTCTATTGCTTATAATAGTAATTCTAAACCTATAATGAGTCACAATTTTAAAGTCAGTTACCTGAAAATAGAAGTCAAGTATAGCAACCATATCCGTGCCTTCAGGAAAGCACTGAGGAAGAAAAATAAAGAGAGTCTTTAGGTAGGGTTTTGTTTGGTTTTTTTTTTTTTTTAAATATCACTTTTAGAGAGACATAAACTAAGCTATATTCTTGTCAGCATACTAAGCATTAGACAGAAGTAAAATTAAATATTTAAATGCAACAAGTAGAAACATTAAATCACATCAGATCTAAAAGTAACAGTGCAGTAAGATATTAAAATATTTTTCAGGATAGCTTTCAACATCTTTAAATCAGCAAATTGCAAAACAGATCTAGGAGTTTTATAAAGTCATCTGTACAGCACAAATTATGCATTTTATGACAAATAAAACAAACTATCATGGCTATGACAGAAAAAAATTATGGGTGTTCTATTAGAATTACGTAAGTATCACACTTCCTAAATGACAGCATTTTGAGTAGTAGTCAGAAAACGTAAACAATAATAGAATAATTTATGCCATACTGTACATTAACTAAATAAATAAAAAAATCTTCACAGACTATGAAAAAACCCACGCACAGAGTCTTCAAAATACAATAAACAAAAGAGATCAACCTTTTTTTCTTTCAAGTAATAGCCGATTGCAAAGTTTCTATCTCCACTCTCCCTTTCAGACTGGAACCTTAAAATAAGTTAAAAAAAATAAAAAAGAAATAAGACATGTCAAACTTTAAAG